TACGACAGGTTCTAAATGGTGATAATTAGATGATTTTGGCGATATTACCAAAGATAACATCGTATAAACGAAGTGTTTTAAGAAAATATCGCATCTCGTGGCCATTATCTCTCAAAGTCAGAAAAAAATATTTAATAGACGCTGAGAAAAATGGCGAGCTTTGGCAAGATTACCCGCTAAATTAATACTCTTAGCTAGAAGTTTCCACTGAACTGGGTACGGCGTCACGTGACAATCGCTCGTTAGCCGAAAAATGATGCAAGGAGCGGAGTTTATAGGAATTAAATTGAAGTAAAAAGTATCCTCTCTCTAAAATGTGGCTTTATTGTCCATTTGTAAGTCAATCGGAAGCTTTTGTTTAAAGAAGAAGCAGTAATTGATACATCATAAAAAGAAATGCGCCTTGTAATGTACGTTTGTCGTTGCGACTAATGATGTGAAATGACAACAAAGATTTTTAATGAACTCGGTGTACATATTATGCATTTGTAATAATGAACGATATTAATTCCTTCAAACAAACACACTATTAAATTGTATGTTACCAATCAATCACTAGTTTTAATTTAATGTTACTGTTTAGCTTGTGCCTGTATGCATCTGTCATTGTGAAATTACATTACACGTTTCTTAGAAAAAATTCTCTATGAAGTACTTTTCTTTAAAAAAAAAATTCTTTTTTTATCCAAGCAGAAAACCAAAACTCAATTTCTTATAACACAAAGGATAATAGTATTGCAAACAAATATTAATATTGTACGTACATTTTTTTAAGTGTATACGCTTGATTAAAAAAAAATGTTCTGGTTATTTTTTGCATATATTAAACATTGTTAATTTGAAGTTAATATTGGAAGCTTTTGATTTTTTTTTTTTTGGATTGCGAAGGCACATTTGATTTGTACCCCCACCATTTAACACCCTTATTTAGAAAAATAGATATACATGTATAGTGATGGAATCTTTTAAGCAAAAAAATATTGTCTAATATTCACTTTCGCACATTTTTTTGTAATTAGGAACCAAAACTGAGGCTAGGCAGTATCTAATGTTCGTCTCTCTGCCGATAAAGCTGACAGTTAAGGGTGACACTAAGACACGCAATCTGCCTGTCCATCCTTCACGGGACACTCAGAGGCTACCAAACATAAATTCATCGTGTCGTTGTTTATTTTTTTAGAAAATAACAATTTATCAACACTCGTAAACATGACATGTTGTATACGTTTTATGGACCAACCAATGATATTATGTAGCTATAAAATCACAAAAAGCATTTGCCGATGGGGGTTGACACCGGACCGTCGGGAATTTGGGACGGACGCTGACGAATTGAACGGAATTACCTCTGGAATACAGATGGGGTGATTAGAGAAAAATACAAATAGACTGTGTCACTGCATCGGGGAGATGGGAACACACGCACTCACATCATAAAACTAATTTGTAATATAACAAAGAAGTTTTTTAATAGTAGTTAGTTTTCTTGGAATGAAAAAAGATACAGTATTTTATTAATTCCAGTATATTAAAACAAAGAAATAAATATAAATGAACAACAGACATCAACACAATAATTTAAGGAGTTTATAATTCAGCAAAATTTCAACACACATTTTCTTATAAGGTAAAAAAAAATAAATATTTGTACAATTTCTTTTCAATAGGTATTTTTTTGTATTATTTTTTTTTCTTAAATATATATTTAAAGTTGGTATATGGTGCTTTAGATAAGTAGAGCGTATGATATATATTTATTCATTTTCATATAATGCAATTTTTCTTTTTTAAAATCAAATATTGAATTATGAATACATTGGTTGGAAATAAATCATGATAATTTTCACCGACCCAATATAAAATCAGAATTAGCAATACTATAATTTAACCTTATAAAATATTTGCAGCAATTTATTTTTTAATTTTTTCCCCTCATATATACAAAATAATAATAATGATGATAAATAAATAAATAAATAAATAAATTATACTACTTTATTTGTTTTAAACATGAAAATTTGGTAATTGCAAAAATATTGAACATCCTTACTGATTTATTATCAAAAATATATATCATCTATATATATATACATATATATATATATATATATATATATATATATATATATATATATATATATATATATATATATATATATATATATATATATATATATATACAAGAATTAACATGCGTCTGCGTTGTAAAATGTAATAAATTATTACAAACTAGGGTAATGGCCGTGTGTGTAAATATCATTTGCTTTTTGTTGGTTTCCAATAAATCAGCCGTTTGACACGCAGGGTGCGTTCGGCTTGACCAGGTCGCTGAAGCGCCACAAAAAAATATGCTGGTGCAACTTTTCGACAGCACGGTGCCACGGCCGTCAATTGAAGGTTTCTGGTCATGAGCTTTTCCGTCTCCCTGCAAGAAATGTCTATTTTTTTAACGTAAAATGTCGGAGCTTCGAGTAACAATTTTTTCGTGCGAGTTTAGTTATTAAACGTCGTCGCAAGACCCCAGTCTACTTTCCTAGTCAACACATAAACCAATACTTTGTCTTACACTAAAATATTTAAACTTCTACATTAAAATCAATCATTTGCATTGGAGTTCATTCCACTTTGAGTAAATCCATCATAGTCAATCTGTATTTTTTATACCTTAAAAGGTTTGGGGAAGGAATCCCATCTTTACACAGTGGAAAAAAGGATACAATGTTATAAAATTCAAGACCTGACACGTGCAGTTCAACCACATGGGTATCTTCAAAGGCCAAGAAAGGCAACTCTTTCAAACATACATTTGATGCAAACGATGTACCATAGCTATATACGCGACAAGGTGTCGATTGAAAAAGGGGGCGGGGCACACATACATAAACAAAATGTGTTTGCCCCAAAACGTATAAACGATTTTGGATATATTATTTTTTGTAAATTTTAAATTTCAACCAAATAAACGTCTATGCTGGACACGGCGCCTAATCGAGAATCGGTTGAAAAAAGGGCTTATCCCACCTAAAAAAAAAAGGCGTGCTAAACACTAGCTAGGCTACCACCAAACACACAGTGCAGAAGACAGGATTAAAACATGCCCCGATCTGGGGCCTTAAAAACATATACTTGGGTGCAAAAGTGCACAACTTGAAGATCTACACAAAGCCAATGTTCACTCCATTCTTATTTAGCAAGTTTGCTGGTGTCAGGTCAGGATTGTACAGTTTGTTTTGTCGAAAATTTTCATATACTAAGGTGAAAAAAAAATTTAAAACCATTGTCGTCAGGAATTTCAGCTTCAGAAATTAAGAACATTCGCAAAGTAGTTGAACTTTATTGTCTTTTTCCCTGGAGTTGAGTTCCAATACTTAAAGGAACTGTGTGATACATTTAAATGTCTATATATGCTGTTGTACACTTCTTCTAAATCAAGTTTGGATAAATAAAACATCTTGAATATATGTTCAATAATTTTTGTATATTTTTCTTCGAATTATACAAGAATTTTCATCAACTGATATCTTTTCAAAACCCCTGGTAATGCATGCTGAATTTTTGTCTATGAACATCTGATGGCACTATAATATTAAATTAAGAATATCTTGAAAAATTATCAGTAGGTAAGGTACGTTGCGTATGTCCTTAAAAGTCATTTTAAGCAATTCAAATAATCAGTGAAAAGAGAAAAAAAATTTTAATGAGAATTTGTTTAGCATACACTAAATACTTTTTGAATGAAAAGCGCAGTTTTATAATACCACTGTAGACTTTTTCAGTGTGATGAATTTCATAAAAATGTCCCGCTGAATTTTTGAATACTAGTAATACAAGTAAATTTTCATTGACACTATTGATTTTTTTTTTTTAGTTTAGAATCGAGAACGATCTCCCTTTCCCCCCGCGGGAACAATAGGTAAATGTATCTCATTTATCATATTGTATTTTACATATTCCTTTATTTCACTATTATTTCGGAGGAAGGGATGGGATGGGTTATATTTGTACTTGTAGCCTTTGATGCAATACTTCAAATTTCTTTAAAGTAGGTTCTACTTTTTTCTATTTATAAAACCATGTACCTAAAACGAGACTGTGAACACGATTTATATTGGAAAATACTTCTATATGCCGATCTATAGTATGGATTGTTCTTCTATGTATGAATAATGGCGAATTAAACCACTTCGTTTCATTAAAATATTTCAAAAGAAATGTAGAGCATCCAATTATTTAAAAAAAAAGAATTGCATGGAAGACCTGACGGTATTTGATATGATTTGTGATACAGGATTCTTCGATGACAAGTCGGTAGCCTCAGTTCTATCAGGTATTATAACGGAACTCAAACTGTCGCAGGTTTTCCGTTCGCATTAGCGACTTTTGCGTACGTGGTAATTACAGTCGCTAAGAGCGGCGAGGAATTGCAGACAAAATCTTTGAAAACTACCTACTTTTCTGATGAAATTGACGGGTATCTGAGAACATGATGAATTAAAGAGCATAGATTGTCAAGGCTCAGATCTTGACGGATTCATGTGAGATCTAATGAAGCACGTTCATTACCCGAGTCTACAACCCACACAACTAATCACTAACGGTCTTTTCACCTACGTGGATTAAAATGGTGATTTCGTATCTAATTTACAGCAATGATCCGATTTAAAGTAGAAAAAAAAGATATTCAATCTGTAAAAGTCATCTGTACTTAACACACATCAAGTCATGGACCTACAGGTTCATTGGCATGACCTAAACTTACATTTACTTTTATATGGATAGACATGGACAGACCATATTTCTTCATCTGGTTTTTGGTAAAGGTACACTAATAAAGTATTGAATGCTAAAAATTAGGTCTCTACGGTATACTGTCGTGTTCTGAGTTTTGAATTTACTTCCATCCAGTAAATTTAAAATTTAGAACTGGACACTACCTACATGTACATGTGCTGGTACATTCTAATTGAAATTCTGGTTTTGCTTCAACTAAGGAAAAATAATTGTTTTTGGATATCACCTTTATTACGCACATCTAATGTAAAATTTAAGAAAAAATACATTTTAAAATAACAACCATATATTTATTACAAGTTTAAATTATTCTAACAATGCAAAATGAGTGTTTCATTTTCATAACCAATATATGTATATATAAAAATGTACAGTATCACAATGAAATACAGACCAATCCTTTGGGTTCAGTCAATGCATGCACAGTTTTGATGCATTTATTCATTTTCTTACGTCTAAACTTTCCCCTTTATCATTTACACACTTTAAAACATTTTTTTACATTCAATTATTATTTAAAATGATAAATTATCATAAAAGCGAGTACATTAATTTTTACATTTAATTATAGAGAATGACACATTACAATCGGCTGTCGAGATCTTCCGGTACCTAGATTCAACTTCCGGTTCCCTGTGACGTCAGCTGGAGTCAGGTGACTCGTTGCTGGTGCTAAACATTGGGTCCATGACGTGTTCTCGTGTCAGCCCAATACTGGAGCCAGAAGACGTGCTTAGGTTCTCGTTACTACCAATAAAGGCATCTATGCAGGGATAAAACGTATAAACAGTTAACTAGAGGTTCTTGAATGGTACAGCGTAGAAAGTCATTAATACAAGGCCAGAACAGTTTTTTTATTACACAGTCCTGTTCATTTTTACGATATTGGAAACATTTTAAAATAAATTTCGTTTTTTATGACTCCTGGGGTAATCAGGGGGGAAAATATGTCATATCGTAATGAAATGTCACATAAACTCCGGTAAAATTACGTGATCATAAAAAAGTATCCTTTGTCCCCAATTTTAATTTTGAGACAACCAGTTGTCCTAAAGAGGCGAGTGAAACAATGTTTTGGAGAATACTCTCCTTGAGGGAATAAAAGTAAACCCACGGCATCTAAAGCCCCCATCCATAAAATAATCGACAAGCAATCTGACCTATTATATTCTACTGTTTTCTCTGCTATCTCTTTGTTATAAATAGTGATTAAAATGAAACATTGATAACGAAGATTAAAAAGAAGATGCTGATTAATAATTCCATCTCAGGTAACCGATCCACTCCTCGTGGCTTCATTATCTTACCGTCAACAATATAGGCTCTTAATCCAAACCCTGTTATTGATGCACCCACCGAGTATAGGGATAATAGAGTAGGGGGCTCGAATTATCATAGCATTAAATAAACTACACGTGAAATTAGGCCCAGAAGACTAGCACGACGACAGATCATCAGGATGACTGATCAGGCGTTATTAAAAGACAGAGGTGAGTCGCTTAGCATCTCTGGGCATCTTAAAAATCAGTCCTAGTCTTTGATAGCTGATTCAGTCTCTCCTTGCTTGGCTAATTATAAAAGACTTTTAATGACTCTAAAACAGATAGAAGCACCTGGTGCCGCTCGCCAGCCTTAAGCAATCGTCTGTTTAAAACCAGAGATGGAAGAAAAAATACCTAGCTCTTTGTTGCTGGGAAACCTAACGCTGTCTATTCGTGGCATAAAACAAAAAGGTTATAAAAGTCCAGGATAATGTGTTGCCAAAGTAACAGGAATGTTGTTACACTTTATATGCTGACAGAAGAGAACTAACGATGTTGACAGGATGTATTGGCTTTAGGACGGCAATTAAGTTTGCTTAAACCTACAAGTAACATTTTGTTTCAAGTACATGTATTTATGTGACACTGCTTCCTACATGTATATACATGTACATAAGTAAACTGTACCACAAGTATACAATACCTCATACCCTGTTCATGTTCAACAACAAACAATACATTTAATGCATGTTTAAAATTAGTTCTTGAGTAAATACATGACACTTGGGTGATTCAAATTTTTAACTTACAATAGAATTTGTAGTTCTTGAGTAAATACATGACACTTGGGTGATTCAAATTTTTAACTTACAATAGAATTTGTAGTTCTTGAGTAAATACATGACACTTGGGTGATTCAAATTTTTAACTTACAATAGAATTTGTATACATGTACCTTAAGTGGACACTCAAAGTATCTGATATGCAATGCCTTATTTTCTTATTTTGCATACACATGGTGTACAAGTATGCATCAGATTATGAAATACACAACACCACAATTCACTGGAGAGCCCCCCCCCCCCCCCCCAAAGAAGAGACTGTGCAGAAGGATGTTAAGTACATGAAGCCACATGTATGTATTTTGATAGGATGATAACTCTGGTGCTCTTTCACCCTAAAGTCTAGTCAAGCTGCAGTTTCACTGCTTCATTTTTGGTGAGGCTAACCTATAACGAACATTTTCTGCAGATATTTCTTTACTTACCATGTGATACTGATGAAGGGCCCCCCTCCTTCATTGGGGATTCTAACATGGCCTCTGCAAGATTTTCTTTCATTTTCTCATCTAATTCTACACTTCCTCTAGGTTGCTTAGCAACCGTGGACTCGGCCCAACTGCTGTAGACGTCACAAAGATTTGGAGACTGGTCAAAACTGCCTGGAAGACAGAATAACTTTATAGCAATGATGTTCATGTAGATACCAATACAAGGTAACAAAGTATTACATTATGCACCATGGTCCTGCCTTTGATATATATATCAGTATAGTGTATATTTTTACACCATAAAGTTGGCATCAAGTAATGATATAGATATCAGAAAATGTACAATCACAAAACACCTGCTTTTATAAATAATGGTATAGATATCTGTATAAGTACATTCATGACACATACCTGCTTCTATGAGTAAAGGTGAGGGACCTTTTCCCGGAGAAGAGGTGATGTCACTTCCTGTTCGTCTGTAGGCAGGGCGAGCATTGGGCATAGCTACAGGACTAGATCTCACTGGCTGGATTCTACAGAACAAATTCACAAAAAATTTCTGACTTTTTCAGCTAAGATTCTGAACTAAAATAGAGGCTGCTGTTATCTGAATTGGGCTTTACTACTATTATGAATAATCCATGCATTTAGAGATAAAAAAAAAAATTATAGTCAATAATCCTTTAACCGAAAGCAAAATTATTAATTTATCAACTTTTTGAAATTTTCAGAGTAAAGATGTAGATGTAGTCTCAGATGTATTTAACTATGTAAATATTTTCTGTTTTTTCTTACTTTAGACTTTCGAGGTCCACCTCGTCTGAGGTGACATCCATGTTGGACAGGTTGACCTCTGGACTCTGAGACAGAAGGGCCGAGGATTGAGAGGACAAGACCGTAGTGTTCTGTACATTCTGGTACGTTTTAAAAGAGAATTGTGGTCCCATCCAGAGGCGACGGTGGGGTCCTACATGGGTAATGATCTCCACCTGAGAAGCAAATGAATAACAAGTCATAAGATCATAAAGATAAGGTCTTCTATGATGGTATCATTTTTAATGCATGCTCAAAAACTACATGTATTTCCTTTGGAAATCAAATAAAAAGAATGCCACTTCTTTACATTCATTTTGATCTATAAATAAATGAAAAATTGCAAGAATAATTTTTATTTTGATAAATTAAGCATCCTGTATAACTGGTGCAGAGCTACCAACATCATAAAATGAACAAAAGGCCCATGGGCCGCATCACTCACCTGAGTAACTTTGACCATGCTGTTCTTTACCAGATTTCCCCCCTTTTAATATACCTATTGTGGCCCCGCCCTACCCCCGGGGGTCATGATTTTAACAATTTAGAATCTACACTACCCCAGGATGCTTCCATATAAGTTTCAGCTTTTCTGGCCCAGTGGTTCTTGAGAAGAAGATTTTTCTTATGTATTTCAATGAAAAACTTGGATTCCCTATTGTGGCCCCGCCCTACCCCCGGGGGTCATGATGTTAACAATTTAGAATCTACACTACCCCAGGATGCTTCCACATAAGTTTCAGCTTTTCTGGCTTAGTGGTTCTTGAGAAGAAGATTTTTTGAAGACCCCACCCTATTTTTGTCTTTTCTTGATTATCTCCCCTTGTAAGGGGACTTGGCCCTTTATTTTAACAATTTACACTCCCCTTTACCCAAGGATACTTTGTACTAAATTTGGTTAAAATTGGCCCAGTGGTTCTTGAGAAGAAGTTGAAAATGTGAAAAGTTTACAGACGGACGGACAGACGGACGGACGACGGACAACGGGTGATCAGAAAAGCTCACTTGAGCTTTCAGCTCAGGTGAGCTAAAAATAGTAAGGATGGGGTCCAGGGGCCAACTAGACCTCCGGCCACTGGAGATTTTTTTTAAAACATTAAAATAATTTAGATTGCAAGTCAGTCAGCCTACTGTAAGTGGACAAGGCAATACAAGGAAGTGTTAGGAGGGCTATAACTTTCTTTTATTATTATTTTTTTTATTATAATAGTAAACAATGAAGAAGAACAACTAAGAACATTCCAATTTTCAAACACTTGATGGAAAATGGAAATTGGAAGAGTAAATAGAGAACTTGTAAGACATACTTAAAGTAGCTCAAAGGCGTATTTTAGATTCTCAAATCGTAAGTGAACTTTGCTTATTTATCATGGTTCTAAATATTGGCAGATTTAATTTTTATTGACACCTGTATTAAATGCCACAATTATATGCTTAAATCTTAAATTGTACTGTATTTATCCCTTTAATATTCTTTACTTGAGAAAGCCATTCCTCTTGATCGACCCTTCTGTTTTCCTGTTCAGCTGGTAAGCTATCACGGGAATCTTGTCTGGTCACCGGGAACTGACCACTGTCATCTGTAATAACCACATTAACTGTCAGGTTTCAATGTAAGGGTATCTGATGGAAAATTGAGTTCCCCAAAATCTTTTTTTTAAACATATATCAGCTCACTTTCCCTGTATTTTTAAATGACCTCTAACTATTTTTATTATTTCTTAATTATTTCCTCTTGGATAGGGACTTGTGGGTAAGTTGTTAAAAGTGAAAATTGAAAAGTTACAATTACTGACTAAAAAGTATGGCAACAAATGGTTAGTGGACCTCAAAGTAGAGAAAAATGAATCAAAAATGACCCCCCCCCAAAAAAAAAACACACACACACACACACACAGACACTAAAATCATATGTCTGCTCATGTAAAGATACCTGAATAAAAATTTGTCTTTGAGACAAGACAGAATCAGATGCCATAACAAACTTTGTCTCAAAGTTTTTACCAGCATGTGATGAATATTTTATTTTTTGACGCAACAGCATCAGAGGCCAAAATTAGTGAAAAGGGGGGCATTATTTGCTTTTACTTGCAAATGATGGTCCCTGCATCTTAGACCAAAATTAGGATGGAGGGAGTTATGTATTGTTTGTACTTGAAATGTAATGGGTGCTATTAGATTTTACCTGTGCGTGAGGATGGTCTTTGTGACATGACTGCATCAGAGGCTAAAATAAGGGGGTTATTGAGGACTAGAGGGGGCCTGACTTCCTCTGATGTTTTTGACCTACAATGAACACAAAATAAATCGGAGAATTATTCTCAGGCTAAAAAATCATATTACTGAACAATTAAACACCAACAATATAGAAGTACATACAAAATACATGTACAGTATACTGGTATATCCAACATAATAAAGAATAATTAAGGACACCTGTTTACCCTTATTCAAGATGATACATGGTGTATAAAATGAATCACCTTTGAGAGTTCAGAACTGTAATTCATTACTCTCTCAGTAGCCTTTAAATACACCTAGAATTTGGTAAAAATGTGACAGTTGTAATGCAACTTGAACACATTGGATTAGATGATATTTACTGCTAAAAATATTAAGCTCCAAACGTTATTATCTATCAGCATCCTACCTACCTCTGTAGGTGCCATTGGGTATAACCAGTAATGGATAAATCTAGAGGAGTTCCATCTGTTATTTTCTCTGTTACTTGCTTGGATTTAGGGTCAAGGACATACTCCACTAGAGTTCCCGTCTGACTCATTAGAAATAGGGAGTCTGCTGCTCTCTTACCTTCTAAAATACATAAAAGAAAGTTAGTAGTTGGAACAGCTAAACTAATATGTTCCTTATATTAAATTACCTACATATTGGAAAACTTATCTAGGTATTTATTTCTTATCTGTGATATCCAAAACCTAATTCTTGTTTACAGCTGTATGCCAGCTAGAAGGTTAACAGATTGCAATTCAAATTTTCTGTGTTGAGATATCCAATTTATAGTAGCACAGATATAAACATTTCAATGAATTTTCATTATAGAGAAATATTTATATAAAGATATGTACTGCTAAATCATATGAATCAGTTTGCACATGAAATAATCAAGTTTAAAATTTACATTTCTTTACATTTCTATTTGTTTTCTAGCAAAATTAATGTTACTCCTATTGGTTTTAGTGCAAAAGTAAATGAACTATATTTCGACAAAATAACATAATTTTTGAAAAACCTTTTGTTATCCATTTTCTATCATAGAGTCCTCTAAATAATATTTTGACTTAAGTCAATTTGATTGAATTTTGTACAATCCTGCCACTGCCAATCACACAATACAATGGACAATGAAATGACAGATATACCTCTCCTATCTACAGAGAGGCTAGGACTTCCTCCAACCCACACTCTGGGTGTAGAAAAACAAGCTGTGACAAGGATCCAGTTATCCGAGCCTGTGTGGGAGGGACTGCCTGTCTTACTACTGCCCCGCCCGGTCATCAAGGGCTGTTTGATCTGGGCCAGAGGGTACACAGTGATTGGGTGGGGATAGGGAGGAAGTCTTGGGTTCCCTATACTGTTGTTGAGGGCATTATGTCTCAGTAAACTTGGGTAGTTGTCATATTGACCTACAAAATGTTAAGTTTTTATGTATAGCATGAGTAGTAAGCAAATAATAAAAACTCTGGAATCTTAAGACTCACTTACTGATTACCGTTTATTCAAATAAATAAATCAATATACATGTACTATAGGATTATGAAAACAAATTATTGTTAAACAAATGAACAAGCAAACACAACACATACCTGCTGACGTTGGACTTCCTGAGGCATTGAGCACGGGGCTATTCCTTCCAGCTCCATGATCCATATCATCCAATCCAGCACTCTTGTGGAACCGACTGGCTCGATTTACAATCCGTGGACTACAGTGTGTTCTAGTATTTACTTGACCTTCAAAAATGGAGCAGCATTGGTCATTTGCATACTATGTACAGTGTTAAATTCTAATGGTACAACAGACTTTGCAAATGCAAATCAGTATTGGTAATTTTTCAACATTCAACATAATTTCCAACCTACTCCTTATGAGAATCTTAGCTTACATTGCCGTCATTGAAACAAGAACAACAAAAAGCATTTGCCAACTGTGGGTGCACTCCCCCTATTTTTAAAGGTTTACATACTTTACTGTCTGTTGTCATGGAATTTTATTTTCAAGCATGTTTCTTTTGAGGATTACCTCCATATGGTGTAATAGGGAAAAGATGAGTTGTTCCTCTGTGAGAACTGACTGTCACCCATCTACTGTCATGACTAAAGCACATGTCAATCACCTGTTAAGAAGATAAAATAATGTACACAATGACTATGCTGAACCTCCATACATAACAACGTCGTCAAATTTTAGAGGAAAAATGTCTATCTCACTAAAATGTATAAAACTTTTGCCTAACTGTTAAGACACATAAATCCACCTTTCCCTACATTACTCTTCAACAAAAGAATCAATGTAGTGATATTTATACACACAACCATCTAAGTATCATGTTTTTCAGACAAACCTTGGCAGTTGTCTCCCCTCTGTGTAGTGTATACAGATGATGAATTGCCCCCAGTGACGAGGCACATGGATGAGCCATGATTCTGAACACATGAAAGTTGTGCCCTAGTTTACATGCAGTCAGGAGTAGTGTACCAGAGGAGTCAAAGGTCATACATGACACTGGCTCATTAGCGTGGGCGTGGAAATGAGCAATGAGTCCGTCAGCTTCATTGTCTTCACTCACACTGAACTGTTAATCAGAAATAAACAGTAAATATACTGAGTATGGTTAGTGGGGTAGAGCAAGAGAGATAATGCTGCATTGAACACCAACAACATAATCACAATCAAAGTCACACAATACATCTCAGGCTAACTTGTTTGTTACTGTGCTTTAAAAAATAGCTAACTGAAACTCACTCTGTCATCTTAATTTTCTTCTATTCAGGAAAGTTTCACTCGTCTTATAAATCATCATATTTTCTACAGACATACATGTAATTTCAAGGACATTTTATTCTTAAAAGAAATGAAAAGAAAATAAAGCCTCACATGATCAACATTGACTGTCTGTGTGTCAATGATGGACACAATGCCTGGACGATGACCGTTGTCCAGGGGAGGGGAGTCAGCCTTTTTTGGTGAGGGGGCAGGCTTTGTTCCTGTTACACTGTGAACCATAGCTTCTCCAAACATGGTCAGACCCTTAAATGCTCCCTGTAATTAACATAGTATTCCCAATCATTTTTTTCTGCTTGGTAAATAATTACAAGTATTGTACACTTGTACTTCTATAATTCTTTACTTGATGTTTAAAATTTTATTATTACTATAAATAACTTTTTATTCTCGAGAACTTAATTTTTGCATAATTATGTGAGACTGTCTCCTCACGAAAATTTCATTCTGATATAATTTTAATAAGTAAAGATTATATACTACAATAGGCAGGATTTGTAAAAATTTTGTCTCATCTCACTAAAATAAGGGGTGACATATATTTGATGATCTACAGTATTTATAATGGTAGTTGAACATTTTCTAGTTCATTGTTTCCAAAATTAGTGTTTTATAAATCTTGGTAGAATAAATTCAATTCATTTTTTGGGCTATGTATCATGATGGAAAATGTTTTCATGACATTTCAGCAAAATATTGATATATATCATGATATATTAAGTTTTTAAATTAACAAAATTCTCCATAATTATTTTTTGGTTTAAAGAAAAATCTTATTACTTTTAAAGTCTCAAGTATTTTCTGAAACCAGAATGAAAGATTCTAGTCTAGAGATTCCCTATGTATCACAATGCATCAATGTATTGTTACACCCCTGTTTGAACTATCAGAGATATGTTGTACAGGTAGCCCTGGATCTTCACCCTTGCTATTACTTCAAAAGAAGATAAGTGTATTAAAACAAATGATGATGACAAGAATTAATCAATTTTTACCTTAGCAGCACTGATGACCGTGGCAGCATAAGACTGCGATCCATCTCCAGACATACCGCCACAGGACTGGTGCATTGGAACAAGCTGTCAACAAAATATACATAGAAATAAAAATCTCCAGACATTGTGGAATCTTCATTGTTCCTGGGGGACCCAATGTTTGTGGATTTCCTGGATCACCTGTACCCGTAAATTTACATCCCCACAAATGATAACTTTGTCAAAGTATCGGTTTATTGAAATTTCTGTATGTATGAGTTACCCATAAAATTGTGTCCCGTGAACCAGTAAAATTTTCATTGCCCATGAACATTGACCCCCATAAATTAAAATGATTTCATAGTATCTCCACAGGACAGGTGAATCAACAAAACAAATCATTCACAAAAATAGTCTAAACTATTGATATTTGGATAAATGAGGCCCCACTGTCCAATAAAACTCAAACATATGTAACCAAAGTTTACGAAGCTCACCTTGATGAATGTTCTCTATTAGTAAGACAAATCTCACACCAAATTTTTTCTACTTAGTGTGTATCCTGAGATCAATATGCATTCAAGTTTGGTTTAAGTTGGACTTCTGGTTACTTGGGAATGGACCTGCTCCAAAAACTTTAACCTGTTCACTCATCCAAAAAATGAAGGTCAGATCCAGCATCTGAAGCAAGTTTGGTAGTGTCCATTTCTAGATGCATCATACATGCAAGTTTGGTTCAGGTAAAGCTATTAGTGGGAAGGGACCTGCTCCAAAAACTTTACCCAGGACACCAACGGTATAGTACAAGTTCATTTTGACCTTGTCGAGGTGAACTGAAAGTTACTCAATCAAATCATACAAACAATGTTTGTTTTTCAAATAACAAAATTACCAAAACTTGAAATATGGTGAAAAGATTTCAAACTTAAGTATATATTTGTTTGAAGCATATTCTACATACATACAGTACATTTATTTCATAGCTATAATTATATATACTTAAAACAGTGTGAGGTATCCATAACTTAAAGTGTTGTTTTGCTCACCCTTTTATCTGCGTAGGCTAACCACCTTGTTCCCAGAGCAATAGGGTTAATATTTGGGCCAGTGTTAGGAAAACAGTCTGAAACAGTCACATTTATAAAAAATAGCATAACATATTTTGGCAGTATGTTAGAGATGAACAAAGGCACCAGAGAGACATATTTTCTGGAAGGAAATCAATGTACATAATTCAATTTGAATAAAAATCATGTTTATCAGAGATAAAGGGTTAATCTTTCCCAGTTGGTATCCTTACTCATGACCCAGAACAGTTGTCTCAGTGAACAAGCATCATACACACTCAGCTTCTCTTGGAACACCACCACAACCACTCTATAAATAGAAAATACTCCACAATAACTCTATAAATACAAAATACATATACATCACAATATTTACATTTGCAAATCACCACAACCACTCTATAAATAGAAAATACACCACAATAACTCTATAAATAGTATATACCACCACAACCACTCTATAAATAGACAAGAGGCCCTTGGGCCTTAACAATCACCTGGACAAAATATATCACTGTAAAGGATCCACTGGTTAATTGAATATAAAATAAAAAAAAATCAGTTGATAAATGAAGCTATGTTGCACAAAAGCAAGAGAAATAGGATGATCATGGATCAAAAAAATAATTAATTTAGTGCTCAGTAAATCTTTAAAGTTGATCTATTTACTTTCATGTACTTGCCCCCATTTTGCACTATCCCCAAGCAGACTAAACAAAACAATAGTTCTTGAGCACTACTAGTAAACCCATCTCATTCCCTCTCACATTGGCCTCTCTTAGTCTTTGAAGAACATTTAACATACAATGATAAGGTATTTTTATCCCATTTTTATTTATCTATTATTTACAAGTAACTGGCCATTAAAAATTATGAAAGTATGTTTTTGTATCAAATATTATAAAAATTCTTGTATAATTCTGCTATTCTGCTGACCATTCAATTATATTAGTTACAGTGATTAGTTATCATACATGTAGGTGAATATCTTAAGGGAATAACTTATTTGTAGAATACAAATTAATATATTGACATAGTGGTGCAGAATTGCAAAAATCTAGTAAAAATACCTTTACTAATTACAACTTTATATACTCTGTTTGCCTCCTAGATGCCAAGGAGCAGAGAAGAAGATTTTCACAGAAATAATGCATTTTCACAATAGATTCAACCCTAACACCAGAGCCTCTGACCCAAGAAATTCACAATTTCGAAAGAGGCACCCTTGCTTATCATAACCATGCATTTAGTATGTTTGCTAAATACCCATGGGCAGAGAACAAAATTTTCAAAGAAATAAAGCATTTTAACTTTATATTCAAAAGAGCCCCAACCTAACACTAAGAAAAAGCAAGAAAAATCTATATGTGATATAACATGTATTTTTTTAATACAAGTTGTTTTTCTTTGCTCATATGGATTTATATCACTCATATTAATCTCCACTGAAATTGATATTGTGTAAATGATAATGAGTATTGATTCATTCAATTCAGGATTTTTCGATTTTTGATTTTGAAGTACGTCTCCTGTAACAATATGTAATTATCACATGCTTACCTCTTACTGCCCTCTATATTTAAGACAGGGTGTGTTTTAAAACTGATGTTGTGAACCTCATCTCCAGTTCTTACGGAAATGAACTTCACAGAACAGTATGGCTGTCCAGCACTTCAAAAAGAGAGAATAGATTCATAAGTGCATAATTTTCATTTAAAACAATGCTTAGATTACCACATTACTTTGGCAGAATACATTTACAAAGCATTTTGCAAAAGAAATTTACATTAAAAAAAACTATCACAAAAATTCCACTGAAAAAAAAACCAGTTTTGAGTTTTCGTTACCTGGTACTGTCACAGAGACAGTTTTGAGTTTTTGTTACCTGGTACTGTCACAAAGACAGTTTTGAGTTTTTCTTACCTGGTACTGTCACAGAGAACAGCCAGTGGTCTCTTATAATGGAACTGATCAGGATCCTCAAAAACTGTGAAAACATACATATTTACTATAAAATATATGTAGGTAGGCTACTAATTTAAAACATACATAATCCTCTTTCTATGAATAACAATTTGCCTTTTCTGAATAAAGCTTTTCCCATAAAAAATGTACAGAAAAACATGTATAACACAGAATTCTAAGGCTGCAATCTAGACTTTAAAGAGCAAAGCATTAAAACACTGATCATCAGAAAGCACTAATATTAACCTTGTGTAGGTGTTGGTAGAACTCTGAAGATTCTGATTGGTCCTTGCCTCAGTGACATCACTTCCTGTGCCTCTCCATTGGTCTGTGAAACAGAGAAGAGTTAACTCTTCAGGATGTATGGTTTAAATTTTAACATATAAGTATATATTGATTTATGCTTCCAAAAACTCATTTAGATGGCTTTACCGGTTAAAGAGTGGTAGGTACAGTTACTGTAGTTAAAAATCACATTCCCTTGTTCACAGTTCCATGCATACACTATTTCATTAACTAATACAACACCCTTTCACTCCTTGACAAAATTTCAAAGGACAGTGGGAGTAACAATTGTAATATACAAAAAGATCAATCATCTAATAATGACAGAGACAAACTGATGGAGGATGTCCTTACCGCTATATTCCACACTTGTACTCCATTTCCATATCCCAGTATCAGTAATAAGGGCACCCCTTTACTCTCGTTAGTGTTCAGATCTGGATTTGAGGACACATCTGGAATTTCAAACAAGAAAAGAAACTAACTTACATTTAACATAAAGGACAAAATTAACTGAAAACCTAAGTGCTTATCAATTACCAGTATCTTATTTTCTGAAGTCATCATTTCTACAAGTCAATAGCATCAAATGCATATGAGTATTAAAACATTATTCTTCAAATGATTGCCATATTCCTGAGGAAGAGAGACAAGACTTTAAACAATCATTTTTTTGATAAATTGCACTATACTTTCCATTTATTGATATCTCTATAAACTTCATTACAAACAATGTTTCAGGTAACTCATTATTCATAAATTGTAAACTGTTTGAGTTACACAATGGGATAGAAACTTGACAAAGAACAGCCACCCTACCATTTATATCAGACTGGGCAAACTTATAGTCATTGTACCACTGATATCAGACTGGGCAAACTAACAGCCACCCTACCATTGATATTAGACTGGGCAAACTAACAACTACCCTACCATTGATATCAGACTAGGCAAACTAACAGACAACCTACCATTGATATCAGACTGGGCAAACTAACAACTACCCTACCATTGATATCAGACTGGGCAAACTAACAACTACCCTACCATTGATATCAGACTAGGCAAACTAACAACTACCCTACCATTGATATCAGACTGGGCAAACTAACAACTACCCTACCATTGATATCAGACTAGGCAAACTAACAGACAACCTACCATTGATATCAGACTAGGCAAACTAACAACTACCCTACCATTGATATCAGACTGGGCAAACTAACAACTACCCTACCATTGATATCAGACTAGGCAAACTAACAGACAACCTACCACTGATATCAGACTAGGCAAACTAACAGCCACCCTACCATTGATATTAGACTGGGCAAACTAACAACTACCCTACCATTGATATCAGACTAGGCAAACTAACAGACAACCTACCATTGATATCAGACTGGGCAAACTAACAACTACCCTACCATTGATATCAGACTAGGCAAACTAACAACTACCCTACCATTGATATCAGACTAGGCAAACTAACAACTACCCTACCATTGATATCAGACAAGGCAAACTAACAACTACCCTACCATTGATATCAGACTAGGCAAACTAACAGACAACCTACCATTGATATCAGACTAGGCAAACTAACAACTACCCTACCATTGATATCAGACAAGGCAAACTAACAGACAACCTACCACTGATATCAGACTAGGCAAACTAACAACTACCCTACCATTAATATCAGACTAGGCAAACTAACAACTACCCTACCATTGATATCAGACTAGGCAAACTAACAATCAACCTACCATTGATATCAGACTAGGCAAACTAACAATCAACCTACCATTGATATCAGACTGGGCAAACTAACAGACAACCTACCATTGATATCAGACTGGGCAAACTAACAGACAACCTACCATTGATATCAGACTGGGCAAACTAACAACTACCCTACCATTGATATCAGACTAGGCAAACTATTAGCCAGTCCCTACCATTGATATCAGACTGGGCAAACTGAACCCACTGAATCCTTTCCTTATCCTCAGCCTTTATGTTACCAGTGTATGCCTATAAAGAAAAAATATAAGCTGCTAATGATAGAAATTATGAACTGAAGATTTTTTCCATTAGTTTTCAAATTAAACTGTGTTGTTCAGGATAATTTTATGAAAAAAATAAAAGTTAAAAGATTACAACATCTTTCAATGAACATCTGTAAGCTCTACTTCAATTGAATCTCTGTAAACATGGTTGACTGCACACTTTTACTGATAATTCTACTCAGTTACTTAACCATCCTGCTAGTTACTATTCTATGTCTCTCACCTTTGGTAGATAATCTCTTAACTGTGGTACAACATCTGAGTTCTCTTACCTTTTGTACTACATCTGAGTTCTCTTACCTTTGGTACTACACCTGAGTTCTCTTACCTGTGGTACTACATCTGAGTTCTCTTACCTTTGGTACTACATCTGAGTTCTCTTACCTGTGGTATTACATTCGAGTCCTCTTACCTGTGGTACTACATCTGAGTTCTCTTGCCTGTGGTACAACATCTGAGTTCTCTTACCTGTGGTACTACATCTGAGTTCTCTTACCTGTGGTACTACATCTGAGTTCTCTTACCTGTGGTACTACATCTGAGTTCTCTTACCTGTGGTATTACATCTGAGTTCTCTTACTGGTACTACATCTGAGTTCTCTTACCTGTGGTATTACATTCGAGTTCTCTTACCTGTGGTACTACATCTGAGTTCTCTTACCTGTGGTACTACATCTGAGTTCTCTTACCTGTGGTACTACATCTGAGTTCTCTTACCTGTGGTACTACATCTGAGTTCTCTTACCTGTGGTATTACATCTGAGTTCTCTTACTGGTACTACATCTGAGTTCTCTTACCTGTGGTATTACATTCGAGTTCTCTTACCTGTGGTACTACATCTGAGTTCTCTTACCTGTGGTACTACATCTGAGTTCTCTTACCTATGGTATTACATCTGAGTTCTCTTACCTGTGGTACTACATCTGAGTTCTCTTATCTGTGGTATTACATCCGAGTTCTCTTACCTGTGTACTACATCTGAGTTCTCTTACCTGTGGTACTACATCTGAGTTCTCTTACCTGTGATATTACATCCGAGTTCTCTTACCAGTGGTACTACATCTGAGTTCTCTTATCTGTGGTATTACATCCGAGTTCTCTTACCTGTGGTACTACATCTGAGTTCTCTTACCTGTGGAACAACATCTGAGATGAAATCCACTACACTTTCCATCACACTCTTTTCACTAAAAAATATACATCAGGAATTAGCTGGATATACATAAAAAATATACATCAGGGATTAGCTGGATATACACAAAAAATATACATCAGGGATTAGCTGGATTCATCTGTGACTGTGTGCTTTCAGATCATGTGTTTATTTTTTTTTTAATCGTGTTTGAAACAGTTTGAAATGGCTATGTATTGTATACGGTTAGGCAACACTCCTACTAGCACTAGCTAAAGGGCTAACTCTTTAGGCTCATATGGTTAAGCATCATATTTCATATCTGTTGTTTGTCGTTTATAGCCATATTGTAGACTTTCTCTTGCTAACTGGTCATATTGGTGCTCAAAAGCAAAAAATAACAGCATTATGTTGTTTAGAGTCTCATTTGTTACATGTCATAGGGTTAAAATATCTCAAAAGAAGGAGAAAGTGTAAAAGAGTTTGAAGTGCTTATGTGTTGTATATAGTGCTTCTACTAACACTAGCTAATGGGTTGATCTTTTAGCACAATTAGCATGATTAGTGAAGTATTGGATTTTATATATTATTTATATTATTATATATATTTTAATATTAATAAATGATCAAGAATTTTGATGCCCTCTGGTTGAGACTCCTTTTCTAAGGTGTACCTCACTAGAGTTCACCTCAAAATGAAGTTCCTAGAGGTTATAACCATAGTTTATCAAACAATCAAATTGTGTATTTTAAAGCAAGTGTCATTGTAAACATAAAAATGGCAGAGTCAGTATCAGACTAATTTCCTTAATTAGTACATGGTTGGGTACTGGTATTTTTTGTTCTTTAATATTCAATTGTTTTCCACTTTGTTAAACAGCTGTTAAACTGTTGAATCTATGATATGTTGTTTACATAACACTTTACATTATGAGTCTTTATATACATGTGTATGTTGGAGATAAGAACTATAGTTAGATGCTGTGAGCAATGAGCTCACAAAATGATACCCCCTGCTCCCAAATGAATATAATGACAAAGTCCATGTTTTGCAATGGGAAAAATATACGTCCAAACAGAAAATAAAATATGAAATTCACAAAAGTCAATGCACTTTGTAACAAAGCTTCTGTGAAAGTCTCATTAAATTTTATTCATTGGTATAGGAGGAGTTGAAGATACGAGATGGGTACTCCCAATATTAGAGAAAGAATAGCAGTGTCCAGGTTTTGCAATGGCAATTGCCAAAAATCTGTCTAATCAAAATATAAATTGGGAGGTGCACAATATCTAACAATGTTACTGTGTAACAAAGTTCTGTGAAAGTCTCATAAAAGTGTATTCATTAGAAAGGAGGAGTTGTGGATAAGAGATGGGTACCCCCAATTTTATAGAAAGAATAGCAGTGCATGTCAAGGTTTTGCTAACACAAACCCCAAATATCTGTTCAATCAGAACATAAAATAAGAGATGCACAATGGCACTAAATAACAAAGATTCTGTTCAAGTCTCATTAAATTTTATTCTGTGGTATAGGAGGAGTTGTGGATAAGAGATGGGTATCCCCTATGTTTAAAAAAGAATAGCCATGGCTGCGCGGAAAACCCCAGTCCAATCAAAAAAATAAAACAGAAGGTGCACAATGGCACTATGTAATGAAGATTCCATGAAAGTATAATTAAATTATATTCAGTGGTATAGGCGGAGTTGCGATAAGAAATGGGTACCCCCAAGTTAGAGACGTATGGATGGACAAATGGAAGGATGGACACCACCATCAGTATATACTCCCTACTTTTCAAGTGAGGAGGGGGGGGGGGGTTATATAAAAATATAAAATTACTGATTATTTAATAAAATGGTTATTGACTTTTGAATTTGTTCTACATGTGACTACTTCTGCCTTCGGCCTTGTTCAAGCAATAGCTGACCATGCAGGTCTCTATAAAATGACAAGTAAACCTTACCAAAAGACAATAAACATATTTTTGGTTCAATTTCTCATTTATAATGAATTTAAAATACCACTCGTAACATGCATTAATGTTGATATCAAACTTTGAACCAAATATCTATTTTGTTAGCCATAATACAGTAGTTTTCTTATATGACTTCTGATGTTTCCATTTTGTAAAAGAGGGGGGGGGGGAGGGAGGTCATAAAGCCTACTTAAATTGGTACTATGGACATGTCAAATGCATATGCTTTTTTTTTTTTTAGATTTGCCATGCACATGATACACTACATTTCGGAAACAAGCAGTATCAAATGAGTGCATTGTGATGAAACAGAAATTTTATTTATCTCCAGGTTTTTACCACTAGTCTTTTCTTGGAAATTCTCTGAGGTAAAGATCGACACTCCTCCATAATGCAACACCATTTTTTCATTCAAATATATAAGAGGATGTTAATTTTTCTTTATATAAATCTATATGACTGCTCAATTTGGATATAACTATGGATAGTAGATTTGTTGATGCCCTTAATCCTGAACTGAATCAACCCCAGTATAAACAACACCCATAACATCAAATCAAACGACTCAAAAATGCAAATTACCTAAAAGCCTGTGGTCTAATAACATTATAATTTGATTTTATACTTCTTTTCGGCGAATCTGCAGCCATATTTTGGAAATATTCTTCTTCAAACACGAAAATAAAGACTGTAAGCAGAGGGGAAAAATACAAAAATGACGTCAGGTTTGTTTTGGATTAAACTGAAGAGTTCTATTTCCGGTCAAGAGTGGTGGATCTAATTGCTTTTCATTGCTAATTTAAGATGAATATTTTGTGTCGCCCTTTTCTTTTTTATATTATGAAAAATATCTATTAATCTAGAAATAAGTTCATATGCGGGGCCGTCACCAGGTTTCTGAAAGGGTGTGGAGTAGCGTCGGGGGGGGGGGGGGGGAACTGGGGTTCTGAGTCATTTAAAAAAAAAAAATCATGGAAGGTTCTGGAGCATTCTTCAGTCAATCTTTTAAGTATTAAATAAACAAAATGTAGCGACATTACTCTCAACAGATAAGTAATGAATTTATATTATTTCAAACATTACATTTTTCGAGTGTTTGTTTCTAACAGGGTGTGTAATTGCTCCCCCTTTTCCGTTACGACGGCCTTGATACATGAGTGCCAGGCCAAGGTGTTTTTGTATTGTAACATAAAAAAATGTTCTTCTTGGGCTTGTCCTAAATAGTAAAACATGACAAACGCAGCATGAAATTCACTCTCTTTTCATCACAACTGATGAAAAATGAGGAAAAAGTAACATCCATGGTCACTGAGAAGGTCAAGGTTAAGAAAATTATGACACAGTTGCATTGTTCTCTCTAATTTGAACCAATGTAAGAAGATTAATGAAAATACCTTGAACAGTGTCTTTCTAAGGTAAACACAAAATGAGGAAAAATGAGGCCAATGACATATTAAATGTTAACCAAAAATTAATATGACGCAGTTGATTAGCTCTCACCTTTTATTTTTAGTTTATGAAGCTTTATAAAAACATCTCAAACAGTTTCTCTTAGAGTAGGTAGGTGCAATATGAGGAAAGACCAAGGTAAAAAAAAAGAATAAAAGAAAATGATACAGTTTAATCGATCCCACTAATATGTATCAGTGTATGGGCTTATAAAAATATTTTTAAAGAGTTTCTTTGAAGCTCAACAAAGAAGTCAAATAGAGGAATAATGAAATCAAGGTCAGAGGAAAAGTCGAGGTTATAGATTTTTTTCACATTGAATAGTTCTCACCTATACGCAAAGCGCAGCATCTCCTACAACGATAATGAATATAGCCCCTTTAGTAGAAACATAGTTGACTGGCTGTATCATGTAGTAAGGTTAGTGTCAGTACTCAGTACTACACATTGTGCAATAAAATTCGAGATGCTGTGGGTATCATATTTTGCGGATGGATTATCAATTTTCCATTTTTTAATGTTGAACATTAAAGATGACTCACTATAAATACATGTACCATTATCTTTGGCTGATGTATGTTTTCCATGTGAATGATCAGGTAATTTAGACTGTGCTTTTTGTGTCGCCAGCAGAGCATTTAGGGGTCACTTGACCCGGCGTCTGTTCGTCCGTCCGTCCGTCTGTCACACCCTATATCTTGGGCATTGTAAGAGGCATGGATTTGATATTTTGCACACTTCGGTTTTTGTAAAATGCCTTGGTTACTGACCCCATGACCTTTGAGCTTGACCTTTGAACTACTTTTCAAAATCGTTCATTGTGCCAATACAAGGCATATAACTTTTTTGTTTTTTACATTTCAAAGGTTCTTTATTGGCATTTAGCATGATTTGTTGGACATTAAACATCATGAAAATTGCCAGAGTTACAGAGTTTGCTTTGACCTACTTTGCAAAAAACAACTGGTGTCTCTTTTGATGTTTTGAGGCAGGGTTTTTATGTTTGCATTCATGTCTCATGTTTATGAGCTCATGACACTGTATCGTAGACTGATGGTATCATGTTTTGAAATGAAAAATAATCATTTCTAATATTTAATTTCAGTTTTGTTTGCAAAAGCTTTGAAGGTTGTGGATTCATATTTCCTTTTTTTTTTTATGTCAGAATGCTTATATGATAAATGCTATTCTATCGGTCATTGTATTGACCATAGACTTTAAAATGTTAAAAAGTTGCTCAAGTTTGTTATTTGGTCTCCAAAGATATTGTCAATGAGGAACTTGAGCAATTTTTTTAACATCAAGTTAAGAGAACTATTGTGTAGATGAGAATGGTTCATTTGTAGATGACTAATCAAAATTGCAAGATATGAAAATTTCTGTTTTTTGGTTTTTGTTTGTTTGTTTGTTTGTTTTTTTTGAAGAATTCAACGGTGTTAAAAAAGTCTGGTCTTTACTTGTTGTTGGGAATGATTGTATAAAGTGACAACTACTAATAAAGTTTTGCTGCTATTGATTTTTGCAAAATTTCCTGATTTCAATTTTCTCTCAGTTTTAGTATATCCATATTTGATAAACACCACATCTCGAACATGATGTAGCAAAATACTGCTAAAGTTTCTCCTTTTTCTTTTTCACTGTTGCTTATATTTTTGTGAGGCTTGATATAAAAATTACTAGATCCCCCCCCCCCCGTATCTCTGTCAGGATTTTAATGAAGTTTTGGAATCAAGTAGAGGTAGGTAAATCTAAAGCAATCCGGTTGTTTTGGAGTATCAAAAAATATCTAAAATTAAGTTAACTGACATATGATTTTCCCTCCAAAAATATGATGATTTTAACCACAGAATAATAATCATAACGTGTTTGATGCAAGGCTGGTATAACTGTTAGTCTCGGATAGCTTTAATTTGCCCAAATTACAGTTTGAATGGTTGACCATCACTGTGTATCTTAAAAAAAAAAAACAAACAAACAAACAAAAAAAAACAAAAAAAACAAAAAAACAAAAACAAACAAACAAACAAAAAAAAAACAATGTATTAATTTTGTATCTCGATCGGCCGGTATATTTTATTCTGCCAATTTGATCATTTTAGAAGGAAAAATATTTTACACGTATCCTCACGTTACACGTATCCTAAAAAATATATGAACTTAAAAAAAAACACATGATGATAAAATATATGCCTGGATACTAATCATTTTTCATACTGAAAAATATTTATTGATAGATTTTAAATAGAACATGCATCATTGATGTTTTTATTCACATTTCCTTATAAAACATGTTTGAGGATTTGTTATTTTCCCTATATAATATGATAAACTATAATTTGGATTCGACAGGAATTTCGGCGCGTACGATTTCATTGACATGACACATGATATTTTAGTATTGTCCTGATGAATAGGGTTCTTGTGATATAGGAAAGGGAAATATTTCACAGATATTGTGTTTTGATTAAAAGTTTAATAAAAATTTTTATCAATTATGTGATATGTCACATGTATATGTTATCGAAACTGTTAAGATAAGTAGACTCAAATATTTCATTTCTTGACAAGAAAGTTTAAGGCCATTCCAAGTTTTTTCTCTGTTTAGCGTCCACCCATCTTTCAAAAACCTACCTACCTATTCGCAAAAAACACACAAGCCAAAAAATAAAACACAGACTTTACAGTAATAAAAATGACATCATTCAAAGTATTTGATTTCAGAAATCTATTTTTCTCATAGAAATATCTTCTGTTTGTTAAAATCAAGGTATTAAATGCTTAAAATATACATCATATGACATACTAGTGAGAAATATTTAAGGAACTTGACTTTCCAAAATTTTTACCAAAATAATCAATTTTAGAACTCCTGATTTTGTTTGTTTTTTCTGATATGGGGTGCCAAAATCCAAGGCACACGCGGACGCTAAACATAGAAAAACTTGGAATGGCCTAATGTAATACAAGATTTTCATACCTGCGAAGCTTCCTAAAGCCTGCCAAGCTGTGATCAGCCCGCCAGATCGTTTGCTTGACTTACACATTACTAGTATAATACTGTGATTCGTACGTATGACTCCTGTAAAATACGCCCATCTTCTTTAGAGAAGATTGAAAGGGTAGATACTCACTACTTTTTGAATTCAATGGCAAGTTTTGAGCATGCTCTGTTACTTAACTGTTGATTTTCAGAACCTGATGGATGGACAAGTCCTTTATGTTATTACCACACACACACACACACATCACACCGCACACACACAGATGTTTACCTAGCAGTGTAACATTCTCACATCTTAAACGATTATGTTATAGAATATTAATCATGTAGATGTAATTAGGAAAAAAATTAGAAAAGACTATTTTGGACGTTTGTAAATAACATTGAAAGGTTTAATGAGGAAACATAACTCTTGGAGATTTTTTTTCACAGAAACACCTATCATTTCTGTTTCCTGTATACATCTTAAGCGAATCATGTATTTGTTTCATAAGTGTAGATATCTGGACATGAGTGGAAATGAATACAAGAACTAACATAATTTATGATATAACTATGTTCTAACGCACACATAGTATGGAACGCCATAGCTGCCTGAAGGTCACTTTAATATTATATGAGGTGGTATAACCTTTATATGAAGTGGGGAAATCATTATATAAAGTGGTAAAATCATTATATTCAGTGATAACTTTATTATATGCAATGGTTTTATCATTATATGCAGTGGTTTTATCATTATATACTGTGGCAACGTCATTATATGTAGTGGTTAAACAATGTAATGAAGTGATAATATCGTTACATTATGCTGTAAAATCATTATATGCAGTGGTTATTCCATTATATACATTAATGAAATCTTTCTTTGATGTGATAAGTTCAATATATACATTTATAAACATAGTTTGTGTAAGAGGGCAATCATTACATTAAATAAAACACGCTGCATGTGCAGTGCAAAGTTCATTTCATTCAGTGCGACACCTTTACATGAAATGAAAAAATTATTAAGTGCAGTACTAACATCATTATATTATGTAGTAAAATTATTATATATATTTTAAAATCATGCTATGCAGTGGTAACATCTTTATATGAGGTGGTTAATAATATTATTATATTTCGTTGTTAATTCGTTATATGAAGTGGTCAATTCTTTATATGCTTTAGTCGTTTCATGTTATGCAGTGGTAACTTCTATATCATCATCATCTAAACTGGTCCTCTTAAACGATGAAAAACGCGCGGAGATCCAGTTTAAAGCGGGTGTTGCTAAA